GTGCATTTCTAGACACGATATATGAGAAATCGTGTAACTCGTTGGATCGAGAAATATTTTCTTTAAACGAATATTGAGTTGCCTAAAAATCGAACTTGTCCGTGTCGTATTCTGGGATCTTGTGGTTACAGGTTGTTCGACCCAACTATCTGTGGATAAATAATTGTGTCACCTGTATAAGACGCGATAGTGGCTGTGATAAATGCTAGGCAGAGTAAATAAACATAATAGACCGTGCTCGTTTCGAGTACGTCCGAAAATGTTAAATTGCCTGTGACAACGATTCGACCGCTCGAAGCCGGATAACCGGTGAAAACTCGATTTGCATCGAATAATAAGCGAAACTATGATTAATGGATCGCGTAAAATCTCTGGTAACAAGGGCAACAAGCTTTGTTACGCTTTCCCGACCACAAAGCTCATGGTCCGTGAGTTTACACAATAACAACGACCGTCTTCTCGCACACTTTCCAGGTTTTCTAGTGCACAAAGCGGTTGGTCTTCCATTACGATTTACACCGTACAAGCAATTTGTCGCGAACGCTTGAAAACGGGGACAGAAATGACGGTCTAAAAGTAGCTCGAATGCGGCAGCTAAAAAGATTGAAAAGAGACAGTTTTTTGTACCGATACCATGACGACTAAAGAGAGAATACACAGAGATCTCGTAAGATGAAAAGCTACAGTTTCTGCTTGAGCTGCCTGTTACCATAATTGAATAATTCCATGCATTTACTTGCATCCCGTCTAGTGAAAAAGTTACTCGCATAATTCCTAATTATAGCAAGAATTCCATACATCGGAATAAAGATCACCGTGATTGAATCTAATTGGTTCATTTCGTCGAAGCATTACCTACTTTTAAGTAATTTCACATTGCGCTCTGCCAGCCGAGACTGCAATATCGTGTACGTATCACCAATTATTGATTAAAATTACATACTTTTCTTCCAAGAGTCAATGATTCACGAATCCGAAACATTTTCACGCGCAACGACTGTAGAAGCCCAAAATTTTGTAATCCATTGCATCGGTCGTTGGAAAAACTGTAGACGCCGTTCTTTAGCGAATTCGAGCAAAATAGAATGAAATTTAACATTGTCTAGAATCAGAATTGGATGAATCTTCGTTCTGAGGCACGTGTGAGAGCAAGAAATTTGGTGCGATCATATTTGTTTCTATAAAATTAACGTTTCAATTCATCTCTCTCTTTGTGACACTTTCGCTGCCACTTCATCCGTATATGGGTGATGGAATTGTTTGTTCAGATTTAATAATCAATTTTTACGCTAATTGTGGTTGTCGTCGTGGCATGCAAAGCCTTACAGTAACGCGTCCAATGGGTTGCGAACGAACGAAACAATCTCAAAAAATGTCCTTCTGTTCGCGTGTTCCGAAATCTGTGGAGCATCGGGCCGATCACGTTCAAGACGCTGTCAGCTGTTGGTTCTCTCGCAGGTTTTTCGAGGCAACTTTCGCGTCGCGTTTCCTGCCAGAGCCGGTCCAGGCCCGAAAACTCGGCGCGCTCCTACGTCCGCCGGCAAAGTATTTGCCGCGCAAACAGGACATCGAGCGGGATCCTCGAGCCTCCCTTTTTGCGGTAGGACGGTAAACAAAGGTGAGCTCGCGAGCGGACGAGCATCGCCGAGTAGTAGGAGGGACGGGATTAAACGGGTTATTGTGCGGTTTTGACGGGTCGCGGTGACTCCTTGAAAGGGAGTTGTGGCACGAGACGACCGGAGAAAGAGACCGGACGGCTGGAGCCGACTGCTGTCTGAGAACGCGCGCATTATGTCGGCGACCGTTGGTCGAGGGGGCGTGATCGGCAGGTCACTAGGTTTACGCAGACCAATAAATCATCCGAAGGGCCCGTGTTCCCCTCCGGCCCTGTTAGAGGGTCCTGGACGGTCAGGTACGGGCTCCTCGGAAGGATCCTTATCTTCCAAGGACCTCGTCGCGCTGTCAACTAATCCTATTAGCGACAGTGAATCTTCTCGTTGCTTCGCGACCACTAGTTTTTCAGCGTGGCCCGAAACCCCATGGCCCGTTCCGTGTCGCGGGCCCCGTTTCCACCTACGGCGTCGGCTGCGAGCGCTTCCGGAATCCGCTCGGCCGAGGCCGATCTATCTTTCTAGTCCGCGGAGCGTTTCCCGACGCAATGGACGACCGATTCAATTTTCTGACGCGCGAGAAGGGAGGCCTGTCAGAACGCTTTACGCCGGCCATAGAAATCCGCTTTGCTCCGTGCCGCGAGCGACGCGGGACGCGGTGCACGCGTATTACGTTTGCAAATTGCTCGGGGCAACGTCGCGGAAAATCGTCCGCCACGCGGGGCCGCATTGACACGAATAAGACACATGGCCGGCCAAGCATGATGCCAAGAAAACGCAACCATTCGCGCCGGCCCCGGCCGGAGAGAGAGAGAGAGAGGGAGAGAGAGAGAGAGAGAGAGAGAGAGAGAGAGAGAGAGGAAGCCGCTCGGCCGAGCGCTATTATTGCGGTATTTACGCCGGAGACGCGCACGCCGCCTACCCTCTCTACCGGCACTCTAATTTGCCGGATAAATACTTCTTGACCGGGGAACGGACCCAGCCACCGCCTAATAACCCGTGAAATTATTCTAAGTGGCGCGGCAACCGACGCAGCCCCGTGGCTAATCCTTCCGACGTCCGTCGTTCCTCGGGTTCTCGCATCGGACGACCGTGAACGCACCGATGCGCTCCCGGCGCTGCCATAACCGCAGATTCGATGCGACATCGTCCAAAAGCTCCGAGAGCATGGATCCTTATTCGTCCGCGGCAGGCACCGTCTTTGAAACGCTAGGAAGTTGTGGCCGCGAAACAGACTCGAAGCTTATTTTCGTCCAGCTTATTTCGTCGAAGCTTATTTTCGAAGCTCCATTTTTCCGTCCCAGGAGCACCGTAGTCCTTCAGAAAGAGAGCTAGCAACTCTTAAACCTCCGCCCTCCAAAGTATCTTCTTCCTTTTATTTCAGAATTTAATCTCGCATTCTAATTGGACCAGAAATACCGCAATTGTTCTCGATTTCCACGTAATCGTCGCATTATTTATCAACGCAATGCGAATCGGTAAATAAGCGATATCTAATGCAAAAGTCCGACTCGACACAGGAGCGCGTAACGAACAATAAATAATACGGTTTCGGAAATTTTCTTTACAGCTTGTCATTAGGGAAATAACTTTTACAGAAACTTCGTGTCTGCCGTTTAGTTTTACCACCGGTATGCATGGATTCAGCTATTATTTTTGCAGAGTCGCCGAGAATTTGCAACAATTATCGTAACGGTAGATCGATTTATACGCTGCGGTTTCAAAGAATTCGCGTCCGATTTTCCGACGCTCTATCAACGTGTTTTTCCTCGCAGAACTCATAAATAACCTTCTTCCGCCAGTGTCCGAATACTGTGCGCCATTCGTTGGCTGACTGGCACTCGCTCAGGACACTTCGTTTGTATACGGTTGTTCGTTTCGTACGAACTGCATGTCGGATGTAAATCCTTGGTCGCATAAGCACGCGTATCAAGGAACACATCTAATACGCGAGGTTTTATGATGGATCGAGTGTAAAGTACGATTAACTGATCTGTACGATACGAAACTTACCATGTGTCGACGGGAATGTTGCCGCAACGCTGTCACCCTGCGACGATGAAGTATTTTTTATGGAAGTTGGTGATGCGCGAAAACTGAGAAAGATAAAGTCTCATAAACTTGTCGTTCTTCGGAAAATGTTCGAAACCATATTAATCAAGTATATCGACTTCTATATTTCAGAATCGATTAGCTGATACAAATGGTCTTGTCCAAAGACGATCTTTTGGAAACAAGAACCACGTACATGCGTTAAGTCTTCCGACTACGCTTCGACCCCTAAAATCACAATTCTCCCAGAAATCGATAGCAACTACTTCGTCAACCGCCCACGGATACGCACAGCTCCAACTTACTCCGAGTTCTACAACCGAAAGCTTGGACTATCTTCGAGCGTCCTTCACCCTCGAACACCGCCCCCCATTTGTATCTCCGATATATCCCCCAAATTAAATCTCATTCAACCCACCGTGAACTCATAGCCGATTCATAAAATCTCGTTGGCCAGCCTGCCGAGCATCCCATAGCCCTAGATCCGTGGCGATCGTCACCTTCCACCCGGCAAGGAACAACCCCCGGACAGCCGCGTCTGCTGGCAGCGTGGTGGAAGGAAGTAAGGAGGGTGTCCTTGTAACCCAGACATTTTCGTGTTCGTGTCACGTAGCTGTAACAAAGTTTGGAGCCCCGGGATGCGTGGAAACGGGCAGCACGACGCTTCGTCGTCGGCACTCAGCGATTTCACGGGCCGGACAATGGCGCGATATAAGCCGGAAGAAGGTGGCTCGTCTCCGGATAAAGAACGACAGAGAGGGTGGACGAGTGGGTGGAAGGGGGTAGGACGGTGCGCGAGAGCGTGGCGCGTAGGGAGGGGTAAGAGCGGCTTGGGAGCACGGAGGCGGGGGTGGGAGGAAGCGCGAGAGAGGCCGGCAGATTTATTCGAGTCCCTCGCCGTCGGGTTGACAAGAGTAGACTCGCGTAAACATACTCGTTTCTCCTTGTTCCGCCGTGGCCGTTTGTCGGTGCGGCGGGGTCAGGAGGACGTAGGAGGGGCGGAAGCACGGGGAGAAGGGGATTGTATCGTTTCACGGTTGTTTGCCGGTGGTGGGGGGCGGCGTGGGCGTGGCCCGGCTCGCGGAGGCACGTTCGACGCGAGGGGACGCCCGCGCGCGAAACGGCGCGCCAATCGACGACGGCGCGCCGGCCCACGTGACACGCCCGTGGGGCAGCTCGGAGCCCGCGGATTCGTTGGAACGGCGGCGGTGGCCTCCCACGCTCCGCCGGTGGGGGCACTGGCTGCTTTCGGTTTTCGTCCACCAGAGGGGGAACTGGGACGGAGCGGAGTGGAAGGCCGATGAAGTGGTGTGAGTGGTGGCGAGTCAGTCGCAGACTGGAGTGCCCTGTGAGAGCAGGGGACGGACCGAACGAACGAACGAACACTCTCTATAACTAATCGCTCGTGACGCTTCGTCGTCTGTCCGAATGTCCGTCCCAAAATCGGCCGACAAGCCGCACACACAGCGCTTCCGTTTTCCGTTCTCTTTTTCGCCTCGTGGTGGTGACGACGAAGACGCGAGCTGCTCCGACACGGCTGCGTCCTCCTGTGAACACGCGTTTCTACTTGCCCGGCAAGACAGAACCATCCGCCGCGCCGCCGTCGAGTAACACAGTTTTCGCTCAGTGCCCGCTCGCAGTGCCCGCTCTCGGATGATCATCGTTCCACGCCTCGCGTCGCCCGCTGGACCCGTCTGGACGCTAACGCCGGACAATCGTACCCGCTGACCAGTGTCTCCTCGAGCGTGTGCCACGGGAAAGTCATGTGGTCGCCGCTCGGATCCCCTGGCCAGGACTCAAAGACACCCTGATGGCAGTCACCGTTCCGGCGACAGACCGCGATCGCTCGCCGCCACTAGACACCGCTCCGTTATTCCCGTGCTTGGCGCCGCTTCGCCGTTGCCGGGAGTAGTACCAGGCTGACATTTTTCAGTGAGAGAGTGCAGTGCGTGCAAGGTGCGCGGTTTTGGTGACACGATTCTTCGTTGTTTCCGCCGCGAGACTGAACCGCTCCGAAAGGATCCGCTGTTGCTGCTGACCGTCGACGACCGCGAGTCGAGCTGCTCCGAAATGTCAGCGTACGCGCAGTTCGGGTACTCGTATCCGTCGGCGTCCCAGGTGAGTCCCAGGCCCGCGGCTTCGCCCAGCTTCTGTCCCGTCGTCGAGACGCAAGTGCTCCGATTTTCCAAACATCTTCCTTACGTCCGATCACGACCGTGCTCCGATATCGTCTAGGATCTTGTTGTCGATAAAAACTCCGAGCCAGGCAATTACCGACGAACAGGCGAGGATAACGGTTCCGCGATGCATTGTCTGCAAAATCGCGGCTCAATTATTTGCCTAACGATGGTCGCTTACCGGGTAGCGATTTCAGGATCATTGTTAATCCCAGCCGACTAACGCTCGCGCGGAGGCTTTCTTTTCGCGAAAGCGAGCGATACGCGGCTGGTAATTAGGCTTTGCTACCTTGTTAGACACGAGGTTCCCTCGTTCACGGTTCAAATTCCGTTTCTGCTTTTTCCACGTAGCGGGCCGGGCCGCCGCGTCGGCCCCACGACCGATTGGTCCCGTTAATTGCTCGCCAGCCGGCAGTTTACCTAACCGTTCGTTTTCTGTGATCCCGCTCGTTATTTATTTTTCGCGACAATTAACGAGCTGAAACGGCGTTCGAGCGACGTTCCGGCCGAACGTTTCGAACTTTCCGCGTTCGAAAGATTACGTTGAGCAGGCTTCGAGAATGAAATCCAGGCGACAACACCGTCGATTGGCTCGCGATCTGCGCACCTGTATCGCGTAAATGTTTACCGACGGCCGTCGCACGCTGCGTCGAAGCCTACTTGAACCTCGACCGCTGGTACGAGCGACAAACAATTAGATACCTGCCAATTATGCAACCGATTATTACAGTTCCTCGCATCCTCGTTGCGCAGCTGCGAACCTCGGAGATTCGAGGAACTTTTTGAACCGCGGAGTGTATAGACTTCGATAGTAATAATACCGTGATCGAATTCGTCGAATCATCGAACAGCTGTATTAATTACTCCGATTGTCTCGCTACTTCGTTTATACTCCGTCTAGACCTGAAAATCTTGCTGTCTAAAAATTAACAACTAAAGCTGCAACAATCTCCAGTTCTCCATTTACAAATACCGATGAAACTAATAACTTCTATGTACAAGTTAAATCGGTTTCATTTTATCGGATTCCGAAAAATCTTGTTCAGTAAAAATTGATAACTAATGGCGCGATTAATTCTGATCCGTCCTGTAGCTTCCTTTCGCGATGCCGGTGTCAATAGACGTTCTCTACTTAGCAAATAATCTAATTTAGAAATACCGATGAAACTAATAACTTCGATGTTACAAGTTAAATACAAGTTTCATTGTACGATTCTAAAAAATCTTGTTCAGTAAAAATTGATAACTGATGGTGCGATTAATTCTGATCCGTCCTGTAGTTTCCTTTCGCGATGCCGGTGTCAATAGGCGTTCTCTAATTAGCAGACCCAGTAGGGTCGGACCGCAAAAATTGGTTAATAGGTCGGCCGAAGCACCGCGTTCTATTTTTACCCGAAATTGGGGTTGCCTTTCGTAGTCTTTTAATTTACGCACGCTGCAGTTTTTATATAGACGTATAGTCGAGCCTAGCGATGCTCCAACTAGGTATCGGAAAGATTTATCGCGCGCCCCAGTGCCGAGTTAAATTAATTATGAGGTGATTAAAATTCCAGTGACCCCGGCGGCGGCTACGGGCTCCGCGCGCCGTTCTTTAAGGCCCAGGAAACCCGTGAATGAGCTCGTGAACTAGAAAGTTCGAGAAACTCGACCGTCCTCTTAATTAAAAAAAAAATCGCAGACGGGATATTATCATCGTAACGATCGTTTATTAACCATCGACCGAGTGTGTACCATTAGAACTGATTAATTTCGATGCGATATTCGAGTTTCCGTAAATTAGACGATTAAGATTAGTATTCACACGAACGCTGATAATATGTCCAACTTCGAGAATATTTTTCATCACCCGGGACGTTTATTATCAACTTTATATTCCGATCGCACAGCTGTATCGACGTACCGTATCGTAAAGCACAAGATTTAGTCACCGTTGTACAAGCCTCGAACGACTGAAAAATGAGCTGTTTATTTTGAAAGTGGCATAAGTCGCTTTGTTTTTAAGTCGATACATTTAAGGGTTCGCGTTTTAACACGTTTAAGAATATGGATGCTAACTTTTTCGAGAAGATTTACTTGTATTTGTTATCTCAGGATACTGATATTTTTCTCGGTATAATAATACTCATATATAAAGTATAATAATATTCAGTTTAATAATACTCAGTATAATAATACTCATACTATAAAATCACCACTTTTCATTACGGTAAAGTGACTTATGCCACTTTCAAAATAAACGGCTCGAATCTAAAATCGATTCGTGCACGCACTCTTTTTCCAAAATAGGAACACTTAGGTTTCATAAAAATGGTAGAAATCTTCTTTTTGAAAGTTTGTTGTAAGTGTCGCAAAATGTTGCAGTGCGAGTGGCTTAGTGTCTAACCTCTTCTTTTTCTTAAATCAGTTGTCCGTTAAGACGTGCGATGCGTTGGTTACGAAAAGACAACAAGCACTGATTCCCATTAGATAAGTGCATTTACTATCGCAACGTATGCTCATCGAAGTAATCAACCCCACAGTTTCGAAAACCCGGTAAGAAGCTCCTCCAAAAATTGGTCAGCCGCATTAACACATTGAGTACCGAAAATAAATCCCAATTATTTCCCTGAAATCGAAGTAATTCAATTAATTAAACTGAAATTAGAATGAAATATTTAATTAATTATTATGGAGAAAGATATTTGAACTCTTTGGCATTCTAAACATTCTTGTAAAATTTAGTTTGTTCGAATAGGGTACAACTCTATAGTTGCATGGTGTAATTCTATATATATTAAATTTCTTTATTTTTTCATTTTGTTTATTTTCGAATAAACAAATTTAATGTCTTATCAGATAACTATCAAGTTATTTATGCCCAAAAACAAGGCACAGGAATTGGTCACCCCGCAGTAGCCGGCTCCACTACCCTATATTACAGTAAAACAGAATTTCGAAAACTAGTAAAAAGTTAATGTGGAAAACATCAATTTTTCGCAACGCAAGATGACTGTTCCGAAAGAAACATCGATTCCGATCGGAGAATCGCACCTACCGCCGGTATTGTTTTCCAATTACAACCTCCATCGACTGGTGCCAACGAAACAAAACGAAACATCGGCGTTGCTGCGGGGCGGACACTTTGTTTTCCCGATTTCGTCACCGGCAAATCCGAGCGTCGAGGGGGCGAAACGGGTCGGCGCAAAAGGGAAAATGAAATTCTGATTTACGAGCGGTCCTGGACCGGGGCTACCGGAAGGGGTTGAGGACGCAGGCGCGGAACCTCTCTCTCTCTATCAGCGTTCGCCGAAAAAAGGAGAGAGAGCGCAAACAAAATAACGGGAAATCGGAGAACGGGATGATGCGGTGTGCACGCGCAGGTGCGATCGCGGCTCTAGATGATAATAATACGGGTTAGGTCCGCCCGCATGGTCCGAGAGGAAGGTGCGAGGCTGCGTCGAAAGGGCTCTCGCGTTACTCGCTTTTACACTCGAGCCGAGCCGAGTCGAGCCGAGCCGAAGCGCTCCGGGCTTTCCCTCGTCTCGATTAACTCGCCGATAAAAGACCCGCTCCGCTCTTTTTCTGTCCTCGATGGGGTTGAAGTTCGAGGCTGATGAAGTTGTCCCGCCGCGACCGCCGGGAAATTGAATTTCGATGCCGATGAAACTGCGGGGCTGGGTGTCCCGTGTCCCTTGCAGCACACCGGCAAAAATTGTTCTCGCCAATCGGCGACGGTAACGCAATTCCGATGTATTTTCATGGGTGGTAGTTGCTCGTGAAAGCTGGCTTAGAACGCTTATTATGTCATTTAAATGTCGACACACATTTGTATTTGAAGCTGTTGAATTATCAATGATCTGCGATCGATCGAAGTGCATTTACCGGAAACACGTAGAAATGGCTAGTTAATAAGGGAATACTCCGATGTGAATTAATTTTATCGATCGCATCGTGATCAAATCGTGCGCGTCTTGTAATTTTTTTTACTGCAAAAAATATGTCTCCTGTACTGTTGTACGCGTATCCGCGGTCAGGGGTGCTGCGTTTTGAGAGTGCGCGAATAAAACGTTGTAACGAGATCTCGTGAAATAGAAGCACGGTGTGGCAGTATAGATATATATTTGTGTCACAGATTATTGATTTTTCTTGTAGGAAATAATATTACATATAGTAGCGCCGTAGTAGCCAAGATTGACTTTCCACCTGTTCGGCACACTTCGCGGTCGTAACCGTTCAGTGTTACAATCTTCGACACGAACCTTGCGTTACTCAATGTTGCTTTTTCTCTTGTAGACGCTGCGGCAGTGTTATACATACGTTCGATTACGTATCGTTGCGAGTCATAAAATTGCTCGTTTCACAATCGCGAAGTTTGATGAACTGATATATTCGTGGAGTTGTAGAAAAAGTATCGCGTACGTGCAGAAAAGAAAGAAAAGGAATGCGAATACTTTTTTAATTTTTAGACGGCTGTGGCAACCAGCGGTCAATTTATGTAACAGTATTTTCTGCGAATTGGAAAAATTCGATGTACATTCCCGCGATGTGTTATTTCACTGTTAATCGGATTACATTCCTTTCCGGTGATAGACGTAGTTCGCGGCTGCAGCCAAACTGCTCCGAAATTATATTTCCTCGATTACCTCTTTCGTTAGGCAATAGCACAGATTTGAAAGCAGCGACCTGCTCGTATTGATTGCATAAAAAAAATTAATTGGCGTTGCTTGCTAATAATAATTGGCTATTGGCGTACAGTGAACTTGTATTAAATTATAATTATACGGATATCGAGTAAAGAACTGGATCAAAACGGAACCCGGTTTATCATTTATTGATTACTAGTACAAGAATATTGGTAAAATACTTGACATGTGGATCGATGAATTATAAATAGGCTGCGGATTTGATACATTTTAGATGAATTAAAGAACATCCGTACGTTACTTTCCATTTGTTATAAGG